AAAAAAAAAAAAAAAAAAAAAAAGGAGATACATCTGTATCATCTCCTGTTTCTTCTCCCATCTCATTTCTGTTTTCTTTGCAGTGACCTGATGAGAGATCATTAGCCTGAAAACTTCATAGTCAGGATTACAATGGGAAGGAATTACTGGGTAACCTCAGCAGAAACTGCTTAGTTTTTTTCTTTGCAGTGACACCAAACAAAGAATTCATTTTTGGACTCATGGTAAATTAGAAAGAAAAGAGCACAAGACCATGACTGGAAAATGAGCACATGAAAAAATAGGGATTTCTTCTTCCACAAAAAAAAATCTGCAAACAATAGAAACAGAAATCTATAGATGTAGTTTCTCTGAAAAAGAGAAACTATACCTGAGAAAGAACAGAACCAAATCTAAAAGAGGACCATGCATTTCCTGTGCTTACTTAAAGAAGGAAGGAATGAAGCAGAGAACTTTGGCTAATGGCAAGTGAAGTACAAGTAAATGGTTGAGGGTAAGTGATCAAACACTGCGATGGGAAAAGCTGCATACTTTTCCCTTTAAGTCTAGAGATTAATTTTTCCTTCTTGCGGTAAACTTGTTCACTGGACAAGTATTTCTCCTCTAATAAAAATTAATACATGCTAAATCTCCAGTGAGTGCAATGAAACATCATATATTACAATTGCCACCCCCAAATCAATAATGTCACTGAAACCAAACTTCAACATTTTATATTAATGCAATTTAAATAAGCAATCAACAGCATATGGTAATGCTAAATCCAGGAGATGAGTCATCACATAAAAATGATTTTTTTTTACACAAGGGAAAGATTAAGAATATCTTTGGTGACAGAACCATGAGAATAACTTAACTAGCAAGTTTAAACAAAGCCCAAATACATTTGAAATGGACAGCTGAACAAGATAAGGCCAGCGAGTGATTCAGAGGACTGTGTACGGGCAAATACTCCAAAATGGGGATACTGTGAAAGAACCAACGGCACAGTAACCGTATCGCCCCTTTATATACAGGTCTGAGTATGAGGTGTTTGCAGAAGTTTGTGGGGACTGCAGGCTATAGCTGCAGAAGTGTTTTTGGCACAGCCCCAAATGTTTCCTTTCCAATTAGGTACGATGAACCATTAAAGAAGATCTGCAGCAAGTCGCTTGCCTAAGCAGGGGATGAGGATAGGACCAGGATGTGACTTTTTCCCCTTATATTTCTTTTTGCTTTGAGAAGAGTTGCTGTGGCTACCAAAATGATAAAGAAAAAAAGATCCTAATGGGCAAAAAGCCTGGAGCTCATGAATTACAGAGAATTACATTGACTTTCCCAGCCATTAGATAATGATGATCAGACTGAGGTGGGGGGAAGCTGAAAGGAAACTCCCTGTTGCTATCAACCTATCAAAACAGCAAAGATGGCAGCACCACTAGGAGAAAAAAATACTGAATTGTTGCCAAATTTTGATACTGAAATTTCATACAAAAACTCCAACAACAACAAACCCACTCAAACCCAACAAATAGTAGGAAGCAGTGTTTTACCTGTTTCCCAGGTTTCAGTGCTCTGGGAGCAGATCCCTTCTTTTGTCTTCTCCTGTTTGTGCACCAGAGACTCTCAGGTTTGGTCCATTGCTCCCCTCTTCTCACCAGGACTGTTCCTGTCCCACCTGTGCCCAACGTTAGGTCAACGTAATATGCCTGAGCATCTGTCCCTTATCCCCTTGAATTTTTATATCAGCTTCAAATAGAAAAGATTTTAACATAAATATTATGCAACACGTACAAGCAAATGAGTAATAGGACATCCTTAATGAAAGCAATCAACCGTACATCAGAAACCTCAATAGACATTTATGTGATGCATATGCCAGAGAAGGATTTTCATATAGGGGACACGAAAAAGAGAAAAATACGATTCATCATCATTAGTAAGCATTTTTACAGATTTTTACAGCAGCTGTGAGGGGGGGCGAGTAGAGGGAGAAGAAAAAAGCCCAAACAGAAAGCCATTAATGAAGGGTAAGAACCATCAGCTCCAGACATACTGAAAGATTTGATATGAAGGAAGTGTTGCTTGCTTCCCTTACATCATACCACCACAGCCATATGTTTTGCATTTTTTTTCTCCTGTCACAGTACAACATTATCATAACCAGGCTTTGATAATACAAAGAGCACATAATGAACAAGTCCTTACTTCTGCAGATTTTGTACCATTGAGGTTTTGAAGAATATTCACGTATTGCTTCCATGTCTTTTCTTTTATCCTGACAACTCTTCAGTAGAGACAATTCAAACTGCTCTGGGTTGGCCAAGAAAGTACTCTCTGTGATCATTTAACATAGAATCTGTTAATGAGTAACAGTGCAAATATGATAGGTAACTTATGAGAGTCTACGGTATGCTATTCTTAATATTTTTTTTTCCTAGATTTTTAAATAAAGCACTAGCTATAACATCAAAACATATGACAAACAATCAGAATATTAGCAAGTTCTACTAAGAGCAAGCTAGAAACCTTACTGCTATGAGGAATCAACAGCTGCTCCTCAATACTGAGGCAGGGTGCCAGAGCGTGGGGCAAACCATACATATTTGGGCTTCACAGCTAGCCAAGTCAGCTTGCTGCGTGGAGGAAATAGAAAACTAAGGCATCTCCTGTGCTGGTTCTGCAGGCATAGAAAACAGACCAAAGTCCCCATTTTGATAGTCTCCATCAATTTTCTCCTGAAGAAGTAAATACTGGTGGTCTGAGAGACTTGACATAAAGATGAGAAGAAAGGCCTTTCCCTTTTCTGTGAAATTTTTAAATTGCACGGTTCCTCTTCATCTTGCGTAATAATCTTTATACATCCTGGACAGCCTAAACCAGTCCCTTCATACTGCCTATGCATCAAAACAGTGTGACCTGAGCGTGGGTAGTGCTGCTGCTTCCCTGCGTCCCCCTTCCAAAATGTTCAGTTCTCAGATAGATAAATGATATAAAAAAAAAAAATCCAATTCCTGATCTAGTTATAATCAGTATAATCCCACAGAAATATTCCCAAAGCTTTTATACCAATGCTTGAGTTCAAGGTGGAAAGACTTAAGAAAATCCACTGTCTTCAGATGCTAAAACCTACACTATTTGATAAATAGGGATTTAGTTCCAATTAACAGGTTCAGAAGCAGGATGATTAAAGAAGAGAAAGCTCAGAGAATAATCAGTGCTAATTATACTAATGCTGCTAGTGTAATTATTCAGTTTCGCAACCTGCAAAATTGAGATAAAGAGCCATAAGATTTAGAGATGAAAAATCACTACACAGAAACTGTGGATGGTCATTATCCAAAATAACACATGACCACCAGTTGCTCTTGGGGATGGTTTGTCTTTTGTCCCCTTTCTCTGGGCTGCTAGAGGGACAAAGCTGCTCTGCTCTCCCATGCTCTTTAGCCCATGGCTGGGAGAATGGCCACAGAAGCCTCTGCAACGTCAGCCACAGGTGGTCTTGCCCTGTTCTCTCCCATTTTTCTCCTACTGAGAATATCTCCTACTTGGCCATATCTCTGTCTCATGGCCAGAAAATTGAGGGAGGTGATTCTGCTCCTCTACTGTGCTCTCTTGAGACCCCCCTGCAGTGCTGCCTCCACCTCTAGGGTCCCCAACATAAGAAGGACATGGACCTGTTGGAGTGAGTCCAGAGGAAGCTACAAAGATGATCCGAGGGCTGGAGCCCCTCTGTTGTGAGGACAGGCTGAGAGAGTTGGGGTTGTTCACCCTGGAGAAGAAAAGGCTCCAGAGACGGTATTGCAGCCTTTCAGTGCTTAAAGGGGACTCATATGAAAGATGAGGACAGACTGTTTAGTAGGGCCTGTAGCAATAGGACAAGGGGTAATGGTTTTAAACTAAAAGAGGGGAGTTTTAGACTAGATATGAAGAAGAATTTTTTTACAATGAGGGTGGCAAGTCACTGGCCCAGATTGCCCAGAGAAGTCGTGAATGCTCCATCCCTGGAAACATTCAAGGTCAGGTTGGACATGGCTCTGAGCAAACTGATCTAGGTGAAGATGTCCTTGCTCATTGCAAGAGGTTGGACAAGATGACCTTTAATGGTCCCTTCCAACCCAAACTATTTCTCTCTTTAAATTAAAGAGATTCTCTCTTTAATCTCAAAGCCAAGAAGTGGGTTCTTGGCTACACAGTGAGATTTGTCTCTCTATGTCTTCTCTTTTTTTAATTTATTCCTAACAAAACTGCCTGTCTATCATCTATTTTATACTGTTCTTTCTCCAGCTACAGAGGATATCATGCTTCAGGAAAATTCAGATTATCCCCAAAAGTAATTTCGATTTCCTAGTTTCACATTCAGATCACTATGAGCTGGCCTACCAGAAAAAGTCAGAAGACAGAGAAAGCAGAAAGTCTTGCATCAGTCCATAACACACCACAGAGATACTATAAGTATCCCAGACACTTAAAATATCTGCAGTGACCTAAAAGGAAATATATTAACCTAATATAGGCGTTCATACTGTTATACACTCAAAGAACTTATGTGACAGACTGTTGTTTTTTATGAAGCTATTTTTCAAGAGCATATAAAGTTCTCTCTCACGATGCACTAATAAAATAAACTATAAAAATAATTTTACAGCGACATGAAAACTATAAATCATAAGGACAGAAATTCATGGACTTATCTTTGTCTAATGCCTTGTCCTTGGGTCCTCCTGTTATGCTTATATGGCAAATACTCTCAAATAATCTGTGATTTTACATACTAGCTATAAAGTGATGTTTGGCATAATGGATGAGTAAATAAAAATTGTTCATCTCTATTGTGTTTCAACATTAGTTTTATGTTGTCCTGGCCCCGTAAGTTTAGGAGTATCCTCAGCATTAGTTCAAAGTAGTTTTTGTGATTTAATTTTATATTTATGTCTTTACTCAGCTGCAAGAAATTTTTCCAATAAATAAAGAGAGTGGCTATGAATCTTATATTACAGCTTTAAATTCTTGCAACAGGCTACATTTTTAGTGATGCAAAGGCTGGCGCTCATGGGCTCTTTCACGATAAATATATCAATGTCTGTCTGAACCCCCTGGTGGAAATATGGCTTCAATTTTTTTCTTAAAAACATGGATCAATCATTGTTGCCCTTGCCTATTCTTTTCTGTCAAACGCTTCAAATGTGTTGGAGTATCTGTAAAAAGTTTGAGAAGCACTTTGGGTACATGTCTTCCAATCCTATTGTAAAACATTTAACTTCAGCGCGGCTCTTGCTTGCTTTCTTTGAGATATACAAGGAGCTGATCCACGGTTAAAAATGATTAATGATAATCCAACAAATTCAACAGACTTTGTAAAGTAATGTAAGGGCCATTCTTGCCTGCAAAACAGCTCCCTTTGTCATTGGGATCTAGGTTATATGTTCTGTATCCCTGGAAGGAAGCATCAATGTCCTACCCCTAGATACAGGGGAGATAAGACCTATAGGTTTACACATTAAATAGGTTATTTTTCCATTTAAGTTGATGGTAAATTTGTGCTTGGGACTACAGTGCCATTAAGAACATTTTGCAGAATAATTTGAGAAACTTTCTACTTTACTGCACTGGCTAGAAATATTTTTTCTGTGCTTAGTGAATTTATTCAGGTTTTTTTTGTTAGGTGACTAACTCTTACTTTAAAAAAAAAGCAATTCCAGAGCAAGGAGACCTGGAAAGCCAGTAAGAATTAAACACTTAATTCTTTAATGTGGCATTTGGGTCTTGCCTGCTAGTTATGAAGGAGAGCCAACATCGTTTCTGATGTCTGTCTCTTACCAAAGTTAGATCAACCCTCACAGGTGGATTACAACGTAACTCTCTTAAAACTCAAGAAGTTTGTGACTCACTGAAAGGAAATTGCAAAGGAGAGACAGACAGGAGTGTGCTTCCCCTCATGTTACTTTAGCTTTTTTGTCAGTGACACACTCGCGTCTACCTGAAATGTAACGTGTGGAAATGGCTTTGATCCTTTTCTCTCTAATGATGTGTTCAGTTAGCAACCTTGTCATGAAAATGTGACACTACTGCCTTGTTAATGGTCACCTTATGTACGAGGTATTCTTTGAATGAAAGCATCAAAGATGTTCCTTAAACTACTTTACGGGAAAGTCTCTATTTTATGGCCATGTACACTAAAAAATTGCAATATTTCTAGTTATAGCACTGCATAGCTGAAGCCAGCACAATATAACCCACCAGCGATTGCCTGGACAGCCTCAAAGATCCCAGAAACTGACAAAATCTATTTGCAAAGCAATATCATCAATATTTGCTCTGACAAGTAAAAGCTGCCTTATTCTCAAGGAAAACCCAGGCTGATTTATTAATGAAATTTCTTTAGACTTATTAAAAAAAAAGCCCCCACAACATTGTGAATAGGAACTGAACCCCTCTGTCACAACATGATCAAAAAAAGCCTGTCTGCACTGCAAACATGGCATCTTCTGAATGAGAACCCCCCCAAGGCTAGCTCCACATCTTGTGGAGCCTGAGTAGATGAATGTGCTGGTGGCATAGGAGAAATACACCCTCCAGGAGCAAGGACCACGTGCCTATGCCTGCCAGGGCCATGAAAGCTGATGGCCTCACACACAATCTGCCAACCAGCCATCGGGTGAGGCAACAGACTGTACGGCTACATTGGAGACGAGTCTTTTTGAGGTAAAGGTGACAAATTATCATTGAATAATT